AAATACATCACATACAAAAAGGTGAAATGTATGATTTGACATATTATTATATATTAATATCACTCTGGGACATTCAAAGACTTAGACGTAAAACATAACGCACTGCTACATACCGCTAGCGTAGCAACTGGGACTTAGAGGAAATGGACGGAAATGAAAAAGATGGGATTGGTGGGTGGGGGGGGGGGNACTTTGATTTATATCGATTTCGCCCACGTGTCTCGATATACAAAACACAAGATTCGATCTTTCAATGTCATCATCGATCTGATTCGGCCCAGGGCGGGCATTCTGAGGAGGCGCCTTGCACGCCCTGAACCAAGGGGTTGGTAAGACGAATTGAAATCCACCCCCACCCCCTTTTCGGGGGCCACCCCTCTCCGGTCCTGCGTAAAAAAAAAAGGGATAATCACTGCAGGCGTGCGGGTGATTGCCCCTGCTTTGTGTAACCGAAAACAAGGGGGGGGGGGGGGGGGGGGGGGGGGGGCAAAATCCAGAAAGTTTTTCTTTCCTTTCAAAGATGATCATTTTTTTAAAAATAAAAATTTCAATGCATCAAATGTAAAACTGAAACTTAGAACGAAAATTGAAACTCTTCGGATAAACAGATTTGAACAGTTACATTTTTAATGATGAAATCTATTCTGGACCTTCTAACAACTGCGAGGACGCGGTGTCATTTAGAGCCGCATGATAAACATATGGAGGTCTGTCTGATGTTACCAGATATGAAGTAGCCAATGGTGATGTAGCCAATGGTGATGTAGCCAATGGTGATGTAGCCAATGGTGAGGTAGCCAATGGTGATGTAGCCAATGGTGATGTAGCCAATGGTGGTGTGATTGATGGTGATCAGGAAAAAGTTTTAAAAGTCTCTAACAAAATGTCTTTAGTTGCATAGTCAGCAGAACAAGTAATGCTCCCAATCTCAACACAATTGCTGTACACTATATAGTGTTTGAAATCTTATACACACACACACGTGGATGACACACTTAAAAGTTGGCTCATTCAAAGATGAACCGTCAACCAGACTTTGGAGAACTCTGTGCACAGAGCCCATCATCAGCGGGCCTTAAAATTAACTCTCAGATTGACAGTGATGCCGGTGACACGTTTTGACAATTGATACAGATCTGCTCTCGGTCAAGCCTGGTTACTGGAATGACTTCTTGGGGATGTGTTATTTACACTGGCTACATAGAACTCCCATAGGATGGCTTACTCCACTGCAAATGATCTTCAAGGCTGAGAAGAGATCAACTGGAAAAAACCTTTAAGAAAGTGAAATGGGAAAGAGCTTAGAATATGCCCCCCCCCCCCCCCAGCCATGACTTATTGATTATTGCTGTTAAGCTTTTATCAGTTTAAAACGGTTGGCTGAGGACTAGCAGATCATTAGTTTGAGTTGCACAGTGTTTGACAAGTAGTGGATAAACAAAATCTTTGCTGGTCTAACGTTACAGTAAGTTACATTTGGTCATGCTGGTCTCATGTGAAAAAGGTGAGCCCCCTTTAGTGAGAAATAACCTAGTCTTGTTTCGATTTATATAAGAACACAGAGGACCCTAGCCATCACAGAACATGGAGGACCCTAGCGAACATAGAACAAGGAGGACCCTAGCAAACATAGAACACGGAGGACCCTAGCAATCATAGAACACGGAGGACCCTAGCGATCATAGAACACAGAGGACCCTAATGATCACAGAACACGGAGGAACAGAACACAGAGGACCCTAGCGATCATAGAACACGGAGGACCCTAGCGATCATAGAACACGGAGGACCCTAGCGATCATAGTTTGGACTAAAGAACAAAGAAATGAGAGCAAAGAGAGCATTTAAAAATTGTTAAGTTTGATCCTCAGTGACAAAAAAAAAAGACTTTGGGGGTTATTTATCCCTTTGCTATGTTATCCACATTACAAAAAGCATGGTCATTACATTCACAGCTTACATGATGGTCATTACATTCACAGCTTACATGATGGTCATTACATTCACAGCTTACATGATGGTCATTACATTCACAGCTTACATGATGGTCATTACATTCACAGCTTACATGATGGTCATTACATTCACAGCTTACATGATGGTCATTACATTCACAGCTTACATGATGGTCATTACATTCACAGCTTACATGATGGTCATTACATTCACAGCTTACATGATGGTCATTACATTCACAGCTTACATGATGGTCATTACATTCACAGCTTACATGATGGAGAAGTGCAACTAAAGGCTTCCAATTTATCACAGTTCTTCTTTGCATATAAAAAAAACAGGATCAACTATGACAGCTTCATGCCAAAATTAAATAAACAAATGTCAATAGGTATTTAAATAATTGGGTACATGACATGACGGTGCCCAATATGACATGCAGACACCCAATATGATATGCCAATACATCACATATAAATTCATTGATCTATTTTCATCTTAGCTGAAATATCCCCCACTCCTCCCTCCCCCCCCCCACTTTTTGACCTAAAAGTAATAAAATCTTAAGAAAACATACTTTCTGTTTACAATTTATTTGATTAAAATAATTGGGAGAAATATTTGTTCTTTTAAAAATTGAAATAATCTTTTTTTTTTTTTTAAGTAATGTTACTGTACTATCTATGATCAAAGGTTAAAGGAGAAAAACTGAATAGCAATGTTTTGTGTTTCAATCAGCATACAAAATGCTTACTTTCAAAACCATTTTTAGAAGAAAAAAAAACGAAAAAATCCTTGCCTTTATTTGTAGAGCAAAACCATGTTCCTTTAGGACAGCGGTTCTCAACCTGTGAGTCACGACCCCTTAGGGGTCGAATGACCCTTTCCCAGGGGTCGCCTAAGACCACCGTAAATCACATATACTCTACAGTTATGACATAGCAACAAAAATAGTTTATGGTTGGGGGTTGCCACAACATGAGGAACTGTATTAAAGGGTCACAGCATTAGGAGGGTTGAGAACCACCTCGTTAGGACATGGTCAAGTTTATTTACAAAAACATTATATTCCTATTTTATTCTTGTCTGACAATGATTTAATTCTCCAAACGCGGAATGTAAATTTTTTTTGGTAAAAAGTTGAATAATCTTAAAACCCCAACAATGGATATACAGCATTTTTAAAATCAGCTCTTCATACTTACATGGAAGTCTCCATTAATATGGCATTTTGAGCTTTTTATTTGTAGCATAAAACGTAAGGTCTTAAAAATTGTTTGTAAATAAAAACAAGCCTGTGACACATAAAAAAAAACCATGTACGTCTGAAAAGGATGGAGCAGTTATATGTATGCAACAAGCGTATGCAACAAGCACATGCAACTCCCGTCATGTTTGGCTGTTAACTCTGGTTAGCTGAACCACAACCGATGACAAACTGAGGATTACATTGTGACTCATCAGAAATGTTTGTACCCAAAAATATGAACATGCATATATTTATATATATATATATATATATATAAATGTCATATTTCTATGAGCAAATTTTATTCTGGGCATCACAATGGATTTTAGAAACTCATCGATTCAAAGACAAAAAGAATAATAAAAAAAAAAAAAATTCAATAAAATTGATAAAAACTTCAATTGTAGCACTTAAAAATATAATATCATTTGCAATGAGTGATGTTACGATGAATGTGTTGAAAGTTGAAGTTCTTCTATAATAACACAACACCCGGTAGAGCTGCCACCCTCATACACCGTGCTGGCACAACCAACTGCACATCTTTATATACAATTCTAAGGATTCACCCACACAATAGTTTCAAGTCATTTAAAGGAAAAAATTTTTTAAAAATAAATAAGACCTGCAATTCTCACAATACAACGTAGCCATCAAAATGTGAACATGTAGAGGAAATGATAACATGGTATGGGACGTCGCACAGATCGGAGGTCATACGTACAGCACTACAGCATGCACGGTATACCACTTCACATGTATACCACTTAACAAGTGGTATAACACTTCACGCGGGGTGTTCCACTTCACATGAGGGTGTACCACTTCACATGGAGTATACCACTTCGCATGGCGCGCAATGCATTCACACATATCAGCTTATAGTTTTTTTTTTGTTTTTTTTAATACATTTTATTTCTATTGGTCCTATTGTAAGTTTCGAGGCATCAGGTAAAAAAAAACAACTCATTTGCTGATAGGGTTTTGAGGATGAGTTCCATCGGTCGTGAAATGATTTGATTGGCTTGCCATATCTTGGGGGCGCTTAAAGAAAAATAATTCTTTAACACAAAACTATTTTTATGGTCAGGTTGGGCTGAGACAGGGAGACCATTGACTGGTGCTTGCGGATGCAGAGATACATTAGAAGGAAACAAACAAAACAAACACCTTAATCTGGACAAAAGATTTCTCCTCCCGCATTGGCATTTTAAAGTACTCAAAAACTAAGGGGGAAAAAAAGAAAAAAACAAAAACAGACCATCCAATTGTTATCAAATTGTTATAGCCATTTTATATTTAGTTAGGGAGCCAAAAGTTGGACACGTACATTTAGTTTGGTAATATTTAAAAAAAAAAAAAAAAAATTTGGGCTCATCAATGTGTTTTCATTATTCAATTTCCCTTCACAACTGATTGCTTTTTTTTTTTTTGATTGCCTCATCAACTGACCAGCTAATGGAAATCTACAAAAATATCATCTAACACTACATTAACTGTGAGTTGGAACATTTTTATATCAGAGAGCTGAACGAATCTACAGTGGCATAAATGATGAGTGGCGCTAAGATGATGTCTTTCCAAAAAAAAAAAAATAATTTTACTAGGGTTAAAAATTCATAAGTACAGTTTCATTTTTACGTATCATTCTTTATTTATTTAACTTCCAAAAAATATGTTTTTACAGTAGGCTCCTAGTTATAAAATCTAACCAATCCAGCACCAAGCCTTTTAGAAGACTTAGTGTTGGAAGAAAATGATCTACCTTTTCAACATGAGATTTAAGAAGGATCACAACTGATTGCTTTTTTTTTTTCTGATTGCCTCATCAACTGACCAGCTAATGGAAATCTACAAAAATATCATCTAACACTACATTAACTGTGAGTTGGAACATTTTTATATCAGAGAGCTGAACGAATCTACAGTGGCATAAATGATGAGTGGCGCTAAGATGATGTCTTTCCAAAAAAAAAAAAATAATTTTACTAGGGTTAAAAATTCATAAGTACAGTTTCATTTTTACGTATCATTCTTTATTTATTTAACTTCCAAAAAATATGTTTTTACAGTAGGCTCCTAGTTATAAAATCTAACCAATCCAGCACCAAGCCTTTTAGAAGACTTAGTGTTGGAAGAAAATGATCTACCTTTTCAACATGAGATTTAAGAAGGATAATTTGTTTCAAAATGTGGCTGATAAATCACTCCTCTTAAACTGATGTGTAGATTTCTTCCCAATGTGACCATGAGATTTACGCACCGTAGTATTAAACTTAACATCCAGCTCTCTTCATATTTAATTGTCCATTGAATAGTTCCCAGAGTTTCTCACACAAGTCATACAATTATTAACTGTTAACTACATACAGGTCTTTTTTGAAAGAGATGTACCCCAGAAATGATTGCACACACGAAACACACCAAAAAAAAAATAATTGCACACCAAATCAATAAATAATTCTAAGTAAATCCAATCGGTCACCGACTCATTGTTACATCTCACTTGGAATGGGTTGGTTTTTTTTTAAACACTAGAGAACTGTTGAGGCGTGAGCACAGGCCATGGCTTGAAAGTCATGAAAGCAAACTTTTATAACATTACTGAAGCTCCTCTGTTGTTACAACTCAGTAGTACAGGCAATGGCTTACAAGTCATGCAGGCTTACTTGTATAGCATTACTGAAGCTCCTCTGTTGTTACAACTCAGTAGTACAGGCAATGGCTTACAAGTCATGCAGGCTTACTTGTATAGCATTACTGAAGCTCCTCTGTTGTTACAACTCAGTAGTACAGGCAATGGCTTACAAGTCATGCAGGCTTACTTGTATAGCATTACTGAAGCTCCTCTGTTGTTACAACTCAGTAGTACAGGCAATGGCTTACAAGTCATGCAGGCTTACTTGTATATCACTACTGTAGCTCCTCTGTTATTACAACTCAGTAGTACAGGCAATGGCTTACAAGTCATGAAGGCTTACTTGTATAGCATTACTGAAGCTCCTCTGTTGTTACACCTGAGTGATACAATACTGGGACTTACAAACAGCTTCACTCAGAACAAAAATGAGATGAATCATGATGCACAATGGAGATGATTCAATGTAGAAAAAAATGTTCATTATTGGCTTGTCCTGACGCTTTTATTTTCTTTGATCTTGTTTTGGAAACCAGGCGTGCAAATCAGTTTCACAGAAAGCGCCTGCGCTGAGAAGACGGACGGATGTTTCGATGTTCCCACAGTTCGTGTTTAAACACAACATGCCTACAAAAATTGGGGTAAAACTAGAATAAATATCAGAAATGCCTCACCAGAGTCAAGGAGGTTAACATTCACTGGGCCACTTGTCTGTGCACGATTAAATTTAAATTCTTGGCCGCCGGACAGCCTTGAAATTTAATGACCAGTTTATTAAAATCACAGACAAAGAGCTTGGGTCGACATGATGGCTTTTGAAACTCCTGAGCTTAAATTAATACTTGAAGTGTGCAGACTGCAGCGGTTTGTTCATAAAACCATTGTCTAAAAAAAAAAAAAAAAACGCATCTAGACACGACTAGGGTCATAACACTTTGTTCTTGACAATGTCCAGGCTCTGGTACCAGCTTGTGTCTATGGCCAGCTTGCCAGCGTATTCTACCATGGTCATGTTAAAGTGCCACTCCTCGAGGCAGTCCAAGGCCAGCGGCTCAAAGTCTGCTATGAGTTTGTTTGCGAAAAGCTCGCGGCGATCAACGAGGCGCTCCAGATCTTTGACTCCAAATATGCACACCCGCCTGACCCGCTTTCCCCCACAAGGCCATGAGAAGGGGTACCTGCAGTGAAGACAAACGCTCATTACTTTAAGTAGATCAACCTTATTGCATTATCAGAAGTTGAAAACTTCTTTTAGTCAGTATCTAGTAAGCTTGATGGGGAAAAACTGTTGATAAATTATTTTTTTTAAAAATGTGATTACCTTCCTTGACTGTCAAGCCATCCGACACCCCAGTTGACAAATCTTGCAATGTAGGGCTTGCTGTCAGCATTCGTCTCTGGGTTACCTGAAATTTCAAATTCCCACATTGCAAATTTAGATCATTTTTTGCAGCCTTGAATCGTACACAACTATAAAAAAAATCATTTCTCTCTCCATTCGAGTATGAGAACCAGCTGTCACTTGCTTATGGCTTGGTCAGCTTTGGATAAAGTATAAAGCTAACTTAAATTTTATATACTTGTCTGGCAAAATAATTTTAACTAAAAACTAAACTTCACCAAGATTTGATTTACATAGACTAAAGAAAAAATTTCTCCACTATGAGATGGCGACAGTGGCAGCTAATTCAGTTTTGTGAGTGAGAGGCGGCAAACTTATTCTACCTCTGTAGGATCCCGGCACTTTCAGGTGTGGGTTGTGGTTGAGTGTGGAGAAAAAACTCTCATCGGGGAAATCTGTGTGACGCACCCACTCCAGTAGGTCTTGGGCCACTGGCTCATGCAAGATGTAATCCACGTACCCACGGCTGGCAAGCATGAAAACTAGACCCTTGTAAGGTTGGATGTTGTTTGGCGGGGGGAAATTTTCATACCACCGTCTGGCATAGTGGCTGGATGATTAGAGTTGCAGTTTAGTAAATTGTGGGCATGAAACGTCAACAAAATTCATTGACTTCTAACAACAGATGTCAAGTGACTTAAAATGGGAGTACAAAATAATAGCATTATATTATTTGAATTATAAACAATCAAAAGTTTGAATACGGCAGTCTGTGCACTCTCTCTGAGACTTTGATGACACTGAAAGAATGCTCAAACCAAACACACAAAGATCATCTCCCTACCCATAGGTCGTGGTGTCAACGACGTTGGATCCATTCAGGGCCTTGAGAATTTTAACAATTTGCAGATTGGTCTTAAGTGGGAACTCTTGACCAGTGAGGTTGATAAAGTATTTCCAGGAGAACTTCCACAAGTCCCTCATGCAGTAGAGCCAGGGCTCTAGGGAGCTGAAGGAATGGGACAAAGAGCACAGAAATAATCATCTTGTCAAAAGTAACAATGCTCGAAATGATATTTATTACAATGACAAGTGTGTGTGGTTGTTTTCTTTTTTAATCAAGTTTCAGTTTTAACATTGTTTCTTTTCCCTTTTTTTTAAAAAAAAACTTTCTGTTAACTTTACCTAGGTAAGATGCCTGTGTATTTTGTATGTTTTGGTAAACTTAACCTAGGTGATATGCCTGTGATGTATGGTTTAGTGGTGTTCCCCATAATTAACTTCTTATGTCTTTCTTTTTTTTTTTCTTTCCCAGAAGGCTACAGAACTGAAACTCGTTCCTGAAATTTATTTTGTCTAAAAAAAAAATGTGTATCCTCGATTTAGATCTACCTGCTTATTTCTAAGAGATGAAAAGATAGCGCCATATCTTGTAATAACTACCATCTGCCATCTAACCACTGTGCGTTAGCCTACAATTAAGCCATGTGTGGTAAATAATTCCCAAATTATTATACAAAAGGCTGGCATTTTCTTGTTAATGGGCCAAGTTTGACAAATCAAATAGCTATTCAAAAGCTGTCTATAAACTGCACATGATTCGCTTGTTCTCTGAGGGTCAACCAATAAACCAAACATACAAGAGCCATTTTTATGAAGATTTATTCAATGTTATGTTACCAGCTGTTGCAGCCTGCCAAAAAAAAAAAAAAAATGGGTGGCCGCAATGCCTGAAAACTCCATCTACTAAAGCTACTTGACAAAATGTGCATTCAAGTAACCCACTTTACAAGATTCCAAATTAGTACTTGTTCTATGAGGGTCAACCAATAAACCAAACAAAAAAGAGCTATTTTTATGAATATTTATTCAATGTTATGTTACCAGCTGTTGCAGCCTGCCAAAAAAAAAAAAAAATGGGTGGCCGCAATGCCTGAAAACTCCATCTACTAAAGCTACTTGACAAAATGTGCATTCAAGTAACCCACTTTACAAGATTCCAAATTAGTGCTCTCTGCCACAGGTACACCACCGCCCCAGAACTATATAAATATTCTAATGCCCCACCCCAGTTTAAACATCAAATGTACTACATCAACTACTTCCTTACAACAACAAAAAAAAGTAATTAGGCACCAAACTCATTTGGGGTATTTTTAACAAACAAGTCTAGTGCAGTTTTCTGAATTTTTATTTAGTAAATTAGTGCCACCTGGTAGCCATTAGTGACATTGTTACATAGAGAATTGTGTATTTTGATAATCAGACACTTTAAAAATAAGAATTGTTTTTCTTTCCTAAAAATGGCTTAGAGAAAAAATTAAAATAATTTTCAGGAGCAAAGTTATTGACTTCAAACAGAGAGTGAATAAAAGAAAACAAATGGGGTTATGTGTTAAATTATAGATTTCAAGAATGAAACTGAAATTAAAAAGTAAACGTGGAGAGTACAATGACTTACTTGAACTGTGCCCAGTCCACTACATTCTGTTTTGAGGCAAGGAAAACATTGGGGAAACACCCAGCGATTCCTTTCATTGCATCCTGAATATCCTTATCGGCTTTGGCATCCACGTGGATGCAGTAGTAGTTGGATGGACGGTAGATTGCCCGAAGCAGTCTTTCAGCCTGATCGGCATCACGGTACATCATAATACTGAAGTAAGAATAGTAAAAAGGAGGTTTTTTTTTTTACATACAGCTTCAAATACATTTTAGAATTTTAATATTAACTTTATCACATTAATATATGTAAAGACTTGACAAAAAAGATCTCATTGTTAAAAATGTAATTTCCAGATTAAGTAAATGTTTTCAAATTTCTGGGACATGGTCCATCTGATAAGACTTAGTTAAAGTTAAAGTTCAACCAGTGTATTTTAGACAATTATAATGGGGTGATGGCCACTAGTAGGGTTCATGGTGTAGTCCTACTTTTTAGATTATTATTTCATTTTTTTTTTTTTGGTTTGAGAAGAAAAGTATCAAATAAACATAAAAATAACTTTCATTTTAAATATTAAAATCACTTTTATAGTAGCTCCGTATTATTTACCAGTTTTTTTTTTTTTTTTTTGGTATATTCCTGTTAAAGTATCCTATTCATGGACTTACCTGTATGCTATAGGAAAATCCTTCTCCTCCTGGATGGCATGTGTGATGTATCCTCTTTGCTTGATGAATGATTGACAATCCTCTGTTGCTTTGGCATAATCAGCCAATGGCAATCTCTTTGTCTTGTAACTGTGCTCCATGTACTGGAGAGACAAGTGGAAAGTACATTAAAAAAAAATAATAATAATATCAATGTTAGGAATTTAACAAGAAAAACCCACTGTATTTTCATAGGGCTCTAGTATGACTCCAGACGCCATGCAAAAGAAACCGGTGTCCTACTTTGAAGAGAAAAAAAAAACAACTTTTTTTATTTAAAGTCCAAAATTAAAAAGTGGTGGCCAGCTTACCTGTAAGGAGTATGAAATTTCCCGCTCGTCACCTTTGATCATGGCCAAACAGCTAGGCTCTCTTGAGTTAAGACTGAGCAGTTTTATTACAGGGCCTTGCTCTTTGCTCTCCATATGGTGCCTAAACCTGCAAGATGATAAAAGACCTAGTCATCTTGCAGTTAGGGAATGTGATGTAAGGAGATGTGATGTAAGGGGATGTGATGTAAGGGGATGTGATGCAAGGGGATGTAATGTAAGGGGATATGATGTCACGACATGATCTATTGAGTTTTCATCACCACTAAGTTTCCTCCAAATTACTATAGAGCTTATGTCAGAGCAGTGGCAACAATCGTTTTAAAACTTGATTCCCGCCTAGTCAAGTTTCCCATGTCATGTGCTATGCAGCAATTTCCACCCAGTCAAGTTGCACATGCCATGTGCTATGCAGCAATTTCCACCCAGTCAATTTGCCCATGACATGTGCTATGCAGCAATTCCCACCCAGTCAAGTTGCCCATGCCATGTGCCATGTAGCAATTCCCAACAAGTCAAGTTGCCCATGCCATGTGCTATGCAGAAATTCCCGCCCAGTCAAATTGCCCATGCCATGTGCTATGCAGCAATTCCCAACAAGTCAAGTTGCCCATGCCATGTGCTATGCAGCAATTCCCAAGTCAAGTTGCCCATGCCATGTACTATGCAGAAATTCCCGCCCATTCAAGTTGCCCATGCCATGTGCTATGCAGAAATTCCCACCCAGTCAAGTTGCCCATGCCATGTGCTATGCAGAAATTCCCGCCCATTCAAGTTGTCCATGTCATGTGCTATGCAGAAATTCCCACCCAGTCAAGTTTCCCATGCCATGTGCTATGCAGAAATTCCCACCCATTCAAGTTGCCCATGCCATGTGCTATGCAGAAATTCCCACCCAGTCAAGTTGCCCATGCCATGTGCTATGCAGAAATTCCCGCCCAGTCAAGTTGCCCATGCCATGTGCTATGCAGAAATTCCCGCCCAGTCAAGTTGCCCATGCCATGTGCTATGCAGAAATTCCCGCCCAGTCAAATTGCCCATGCCATGTGCTATGCAGCAGAAATTCACAAAAGAAACATCAGCAACAAATAGATTAATTATTTTGAGAAAGTTGTAATGCCCAGTAAACATACAATGTGTATGCAACATTCTTTTTTTTGTTTCCATCACAAAGAGAGTGCTATCACCCATTTGCCTATCTTGTCTAAATGCTGCTCATGGCAAACTCACAAAAGAATGTCCTCCCACCCCACTAGCACAACAATAAATATAATGTTGGGCCTATCTATCTATGTATGTATAGACCCTTAAGAGCATCGCGAGGGGTGGCCCCCACAGAAACACCACTGCTATCTTCAAGAACGACGTGAGTCTGCCCATACCCCTGCCAGTAGCCTATGAGCGGACACGCTCAAGTTACCTAGGGTACTGTTTCTGCTTTATTTGAACCAACCTTTTAAGTTGCAGATTTATTTAAACCAAAGGTGTAGTTGTAGGTCTGATCAAGCTACAAGACAGCAGAGACATGTCAAAAGCCATCAGAGCAATGAGATTTACAGTTTGTTAATTTACTGACAAAAGTGGCTCATGGTTCTCTCTGGGACTGATAAGGTTCATCCATTCTTAAATTTGAAATTTTTCGTTGCTTTAAATTATTGTAAACCAAGGTTTGTTCCAAACAAAAACTTGATTGCTGGGGGGCGGGAAGGCGGGGGGGGGGGCGCCCGCTGATGAGGGCAGCTGCCTTTATTCCGTTTACAACTTGAATGTAATACTACTATCTAAATACACCAATCTATCGGCCAACAATAAAATATAAGACATTTTTATTCAATCAAATTAGTAATGCAATTTATTGGATACATTAAATTATAATGATCACTATCTGGTATATAAAAGGTCCTCATTCCTTACCAACGTATCATAAACTATAGGATCATCCTAAGGATGAGATACAATTTTATTTATTTATCTTATCAAAATCATAAAATTTTTAATGATTCTATTGCTTCTGTAGAATGCTTTAATGATATGTGCACCTGAAATAGGAATATATTTTTATCTATTTATATTTTTGGTGGGGGGAGGGGCTTTTTAAAGCCTGTCCAGTCCCCCCCTCCCCACACAGAAAATAAATTAATAATAATGGGCTGTTTTTTTTTAATTGGCAAAAATTATGCCCCCAAAAAAAATTAAAAGTAGGTAGAGCTACACGTGTCTCAAATATCAATTTAATCAAGAAACGACAGATAACCTCATTTTGAAACAAGCAGAATTACTCCATAGCATCTGCCCTTACCTGGTTGCCACATCCTGTTGCAGCTGGATGGGAAGTTCTCCGCTAACGTCATTCTCGAGGATGCTGGGATAGCTTTTCTCTGAAGTAACTATCAGAGGGAACCCCGGGTGCAGCACGTACACCACCTCCGAGTCCTGCAACAGCGGGAGGACCTTAAAAAAGAAGAAGACCAGCAGCGCCACCAAGACGAGGCAGATCTTGATGAGTTGCCGATGAGCCAGCCACTGAGCAATGTGCCGAATGGCATTGAGAAGCTTCCGTAGAGGTAACGAGCAGGTCCTGGCAAAAATGAAAACAAACAGAAGAAAGTGTGATGATGCGGCAGGACATGTGGATGATGGTAAAATGTGGTATTATCCTTCTAACGACCCCCTCCAGGGGGGGTCAGTGGTTTTGGCAGGGGCAGCCATAAACCGTATGAATGTGTAATCAACTTGGCATACAATTTAGGACCCATGCATATCTTCGTTTGCTCAAATAAGATGACCAATGTCGTACAACTTGCTTTCACTGAAATAATCTGGTAAAAAGCAACATTTTGAGATTGAACATTGACCCCCCCCCCCCCGACAATAAAGGAGACGAAGTTAAATGTTAGTGCCCTTGGTCGACATAAAATATTGTTTACGTCATCGCATACTTCTTTATGTAATCTCTAAGAGGAGTTCTAGACTATACAGGACGGGGGTGGGGGGCAGATGGTGGAGGGGTCGGATTTAATTTGCATAACACTGTTAGGCACAAAAAAATGAATGGATTTAGCCACTGTAGGGTGGCAGCACAGCAAAACTCATTACGTTAAGCCTTCCATCTCCATCTTTTTACAGACCAAATGAGATGGGTCAGATGAAGTCCCTGTGAAACACTATACGGTGTGGGTCTGATGAAGTCCCTGTGGAACACCTTGCGGTATGGGTCTGAAATGTTGGCAGGTAGAGAGTGCGATAGAATAAATTGGATTTAATTAGAATATACTAAATATAGGTTAGATAGAGACAAGTGTTTATTCATCTTGCTGCAAGATCCAACGAGGATTATCACATTCTTTCATAGCAGATGTTGAAGTCGGTTTGAAAAATAAATATTGAATGTAATGACGTTTTTTTTTTTTTTTTAATGTGTGTGTTTGCAATTAGTTTGAAGGTATATATGAACATTAAATTGTCTGAAACGTTTACGGCAGTCTGAATACAAGCCGGGTTAGGATATGCGTGTTTGTGACTTGTGCATGTTGTGTGAGTGATAATGTATGCATTTGGGTGTGTGTACATGCGGGTATAGGCCTACATGCATTCAAATATATCTAAATAAATATATACACAGAAACAATATACCATTTGTGTTTTCTTTTTTTTTTCCAAAAATAAATAAATTATTAATTTAGCTTGTATTATTAGTAGTAGTTGTAGATTGTATAACACTATTCACAACTGAGTAAAAACTTAACGAATTTTTCAATTATTCAACTTGTAACTTGTAATGTTTTCAGGAGGAAAAAATTAGATATTTTTTAAGAAATATCATGCTTCCCACCAAGCTTGAGAGTAGTGAGTATGGAAGTATGGTCAGTTTCGAATTATGTGAGATATAAATATTTTAAAATGGCATACAGAATCAATAATCAATAACTTTCAATAACTACTTTTTAAAACACTTATTTTTTCCACAACTCAACTGAAGCGCAACCTTCTGGTTTCAAAGACATTTTGCCATAACTAACTGGTAAGCACCATGACCATAACTATTACACTTTTAGTATTAGTGTATAGTATATAATCATTAACAAATATAATCTAAATTACTAAATATAGGCCGCCTAGCTTAACCAAAAACCAATGACCAATGGCAATGATTATGATCATTTTTAATTTTATTTTGTGCAAACCGTAAAGATCTTCCCAGGATAATTTCGTTATCTGCCTTTAATAAACACGGTAAAAGTAATTCGGGAGACGAATCAGGTCGCATTGTTGTATTGCACAACTACATTGAATGATTGCAAATCGTTTGTCAATTGGTTTCTATCTGTAGTACAACGATTTTGTCATCCTTAATTAAAAATAGAAGGGGGAAAGACGTCTTTAATTTTTAGGACTTTTTAAAAGGAGAGCTGGCCAGGATTTGTCACAAAATGCACACACAAAACTTTTTTTTAAAAAATGTTAATACCCGGAGAAACCCCCCCCCCCCCCCCCAAAGAAAATTGAAGACATTATTTCTATTTAAAAATGTTTTAGTTGGAGATAAGGATCACATGAAAAATGTATAATCAGCTTAACAATCTCTTTCAGTCTTAAATGACAATATAAATAGTTTTTAAGTTATCTTACAAGTTTAAAAAATCAGCCACATTGACATTATGCCCATTGTAATAATACATTTTAAAATTTAAGTTTATCTCGGTGCAATCAGCAGATGATATTTTCAACAATGTCAATTAAAAAGATTTTTTCGAAAATAATTATAAAAGTTTTTTTAATTTAATTATCTGGCTCCTCTCTAGAACTTGCTTAATCCAAGCGAAGCTAGATGTGCTCTACATAAAAAAAAAAAAATGTGTTCAGTTGTATCAGTTACATTTTTATTGTCTCCTTAAATTTTAAATTCTTTTAAAGTTTTTTATCTTTGCTTTATTTGTTTGTGTGAAACTAAAGGAAACTCATTTTATTCAGTCATGTACATTTGTTTGTAAAATATTCTAAACCGAACCGACCAAACATTGCCCCCTTTGGAATATATGAAACAATATCAATTGATATTTCATTAACTTAGCTTGAATGCAGTCCTTTAATTGTTATAGGAATATATGATGGCCCTTAAACTTAAAGCACACATTTTTTTAGTAGAAATAATTTTTAGTGCCTTTAAATTCAAAATATTTCGTTTATAAATAAACAGTTATATTTAAAATAACGCCTAAGGTGCTGCAACTTACATACATGTTTATTACTAAGTTACAGAGTGTGCATTTTAAAATAATGTTTTAACGTAATTATTTTAATACAAAATACATTGTCTCTTTAAATGATAAATACTGTGGGGAGCGGATATGGTTTGACTGTGGGAGCGGATATGGTTTGACTGTGGGAGCGGATATTGTTTGACTGTGGGGAGCGGATATGGTTTGACTGTGGGGAGCGGATATGGTTTGACTGTGGGGAGCGGATATGGTTTGACTGTGGGGAGCGGATATGGTTTGACTGTGGGGAGCGGATATGGTTTGACAGGATATGGTTTTACGGTGGGGAGCGGATATGGTTTGGCTGTGGGGAGCGGATATGGTTTGGCTGTGGGGAGCGGATATGGTTTGACTGTGGGGAGCGGATATGGTTTGACTGTGGGGAGCGGATATGGTTTGACTGTGGGGAGCGGATATGGTTTGGCTGCGTTGTACATCCGGGTTTGTGTGTGTGTGTGGGGGGTGGGGGTGGGGGGAGGAGTGGCATGTATAGGCTACAACATGGATCCTATTTTAAAAAAAAAAAAGACTTGGAAGCCGTGCCTTCCATTGATTCCCTACTCAACTGTAGCGTTAGGAAATACAATTGAACGTATGTTGAAGAAAGCTTGAAGATCGCATCCTTATCCAATGCGATAACAATACTATACGTACTGACGGGGGTGTACATCTGTGTGGTTAGCGTTTGCCTAGTTCGTCACTGTTGTTTAAAATAGAAATTGTATGAACGATTTCGAGCTGTTTATACTTCGGAATCGTGATTTTATAATCCGTGAATCGATGATCTAACAAACTTTGATTTTTTAATTTTTTTTTCTTTAACTCGCCTGACCAAAATATGCTAAATTTCTTGCCTCTATAATCAAATAACGGCAGAGAACCCAAGAGAGTTTGTTTGTGTAGCAAAGATGCCCAAAAGGTTCAAGAAAACAAACAAGCAACGCTAACATCAAGTGGCATACAACTTTGTGTTTGGGGGCCGGGGGGGGGGATTTAAAAGGAAGAATAGAGATTTTAAAAAGGGGAAGGAAAAAAAAGAAAAGATTCAATAAAATCAGCATCTGATTCAACGTGATGCATCTACGCCAGCTTGAACCCGCTGGGATAAACACCAGTGAATTTGAGTGATGACCCACTCATGAACGGACAACTGTAATGCCCATGTTTAGTGGGAGGGGTGGGGGTGGCAAGGTTGAACAGGCCCAGGGGAAACTCTTTATAGGGTTTTTATATAACACGGTATAAATGATGTTTTGTGTGTGTGTGGGGGGGGGGGGCGGGGGCTAAATTTATTTTTTAGTTCACAAGGGGGGACATTAATTCAAGGTACGTCCCTGGAACGTTCACTTTATTTTTTGCAAAGCAATCGTCCTATGTTCTATGGTATGTTCTCTCCAGATCATACCAAGAAAGAAATTAACGTGATCTAAAGTCACGGAACAACAGCTATCAAAACGAATAGTGCCCAGTTAAACGTCTAGTTTAAACATCAATATAAAAAATATTTTAAAAAAAAATTAAATTAAATCTCGGGCATGAGGATATAGCCACTTATTTTGAAATTATGAACTAAACAAGCAACAGAAAACCTTATTCTGATTTTTTAAAATTTTGTTTAAAGGCTCAAAATCTGTGTTCCGAGCGCCCGTCAATGTTATGAGTTCTGATTACATTCTTCACCTTTCAATACGTTTCAATAGATCACGTGTTAGCTGGGATTTATGCCTTTCCCCGCGTGGCTTGGATCTGATCCGACGTTGCCAGTGGTGCCGACCGCATTTATTAAACGCCAGTGACGTGCACATAATTCATCACATTTGCATAATGGCAAAAAGCCGGCGCGCGGGAAATGTCGTGTCTTCGGAAGAATGGTGTAGGCCGACATTATTCATATGTGATTGGCTCCATAACAAAAATATCAATTTTTTTTTTTGTCGTAGAGACACCAATGGGGGTCTTGTGGGTTGAAAGAAAAAAAAAAGGGGGGGGGGGGGGAAATTTCTGGCCCAAAAAAAAAAATGTCTGGCGTGGGCCCATGTGCTTTATTTAATAGTATCACTAACAAGTTTTCAATCATCTTGTCAAAAAAAAAAAAGTTTAAAACTAACGAAATGTAAAATATGGAAAATTTAACAGAGTGTCAGTGTAATACGTTTGACAATTAGTTTAATTCTCCTTAATATCAATAATGAAGCAAACTAAATACGTCAATTTCCAGGACTGCCCCCCCCCCAAAAAAAAAAAAAAACGCATTTAAATAAATCCTAGCCATATTTTATCTCACCAATATTAGGACTAAAATGAGTCAA